TATATATGAAAAATATATCAAAAATGCATGTGGGTACTCAAACGAAAGCTCTTGATGAGTGCAACATCGGGATGAGTTTATATCTTTAAAAACGTCAATAGTTAAGAAAGGACAGTGCAATTTAACAAAAGTTATTTAATAAAGCAAATTTTTATTTATTTATAGTTCACAAGTCACGGTAGTCACATAGTGACTGCAAGGTTGCTAGTATGTAATAATTAGCAAATTAATCTTGAATCAAGAATATTTAATGTCTGAGTGCATATGACATGAATTCCCTACAATTAAAAAAATTAGGCATATGTGGGTGTACTCGTGGGTCTCCTAAACAACTTTAAAATTATTTTATAAATACCAGTGTGCAATGTTTGCATGCTAAAAGTCACTGAGTAGCTTAAAAACATCTATTTAAACATCTAAATAATCACAGGTACGCAATAATGAATATAAGGACCTTATAAATTGTCAAGTGTTTGGTTTCAACGAAATATTCAAAATAATTCTACAATAATGATGATAATAATAATAACAATGGTAGTAATAATAATAGTAATAGTAATAGTAATAGTAATGAAATATCATCCAGACATTGAATTTCTCTTGACAAACATTGAACTATTTGAATAAACCGGTATAAAGTGCTCCAATTTGAATTTGTGCAAATGATTTAGTATTATTATACATAAATATATAACTAATTAATTTATAATTTAAACTGTGTTTTAAAATGATTTTATTTACTGGAAAAGCTATAAGTGCAACACTCATAACGTTGACGATTAATTATTTATAATGAGATAGTTTTAATAAAGATGAGAGTAGTTATTTATACATGCATCAATCATGCATAATAAGTTCAGAAAAATATAATATAATTATTTATACACAAGCTATCAATCTAATAATAATAAATCTATAATAACTAGCTTTTATATAATAATATGAGTACTTACAGTGGGATTCTGCGGTGCCAATGTGTGTTTACTCATGACAATAGTAGTGGTTTTGAGATCTTTTGTTCCACCAGGTGATTTTGGTGGGACAGGTGTGTCAACTGGACTATTTGGTTTATTAACTAACGATTCAGCCGCCCTTACTACATCCATTACCTATGCAAAAAAATATTTTTTCTATGTCTAATAATCTACTCGCTCTATTATACGCTAATTATTATTTAACTTTAATGATAAAATTTTAAATTAAATCTAGCAATAAATTAAAACCAAAAAAATTCATGCTTATAAGCCAGCGCTATAATAATTGTACAACTAAAAAAAAACAACGTACTTTTTCAGGAGTTGATTTTTCTCTGTGCTCAATTAACGCTCGTTCGCGTTCTTCTTGTTCCCAAGCGACAAGCTCTTCTTTCATTTCCTGTTCTTGTCTTAATGTTGCGGCCTCCTCGTCATCGCGATCCAAACTCGAGACACTCTGAGACAAAGACTTTAATCCCTCAGTAGGGGATGTATCTTTTAAATCTTGAGATCTTCGTGATTCTTTAGACTCTCTTCCGGAGAGCGTCAACAAGTGCTCGACTTCGTTTTTGTCGTAACCCTTGCATACAACAAGAGTTATCGTATTACCAGAGCAGCGAAGAATATTAACCGCTTCTTGGTGAGTAGCTCCCAGTAATGACGTACCATTTACTTCCAGTAATCTCATTCCCACCTAAATATAAATTTTATAAAAAAATATAACAATTATTACTAATCATTGAATTTAATTTATTAAATCGACATTAATTAGAGTTAATTAAAGTCACTCTAACTGAATCATCTAAGCTGTATAAAATAACTGACCTTCAATCTTCCGTCACGCTTAGCTGCACCGCCGGAATTTATTTTTGAAATAAATACACCTTCGTCGGTATGGTCTAGTGGATTTCCACGCTGACCACGGAGTCCTCCTTTTATATGCATGCCTAATTTTTCACCAGGCTCTTTTACTATCACAAGTTCCTAAAATTAAATAAATAAATTTAATAAAATCACCTTAAAATTTTATTGGCTATTAAGTAACAAAAAAAAAAAATTTGGAAAATCCAAAAGTGCACGACTCATAATGCTCATTTAATTATAAAATATTAATAAAATAAAGAATGTGAAAAAATAAAAAATATATAAAACAACTAAAATAGCACGATAATATTATTAAAATTGAAATTATTTTTTTAAAATTATTTTCTTGGTTCAAGAATTTTCCTCTCAAATCAAGTTAATTTTTTTTTTAGTGCATACATGACAGATAGGAAAATTTTTTGACCTATTTTGATCTTTTTTTTCGTTTCTATTGCACTAAATCAATTTTTTTTAAATGTCAAATTAATCTCCATTAAATTATCTTGACAATAGTATGCAAAATATCTTGAATTCATTAACTAACAAGACTATAATAACAAAAATAGTTGCTGAAATGCGGCGAAAAAAAATTTTCGATCGTAAAGCACTCTCTGATGCTTCGCATCTTGAGTCGTGCAATTATAATTTAAAAAGATAAGGAACGTGACTGTATTGCTAAAAAAAGTACAAGTGAGCACGTAGATAAGCATCACATTAATAGCTCCAAGCAGTAAAAAAGCCGTGTTAAAAATTTTTATTGATTATGTAATAATATTGTATAGAGGAAAGTTAAGTATAGAAAAAAAAAAAAAGAAGAAAATATAAAATGAAATAATCGAGGGATGTAATGGAGATATATATTCATCAGATCGATTACTTACTGTTACTGGAATGTACTCTATTTCGACCAGCTTGTTAAACAACGAGTTATTTAATTAAGATAGATAGGCGATTAATAAATAAACCTCGCCGTAAAACCGATTAAAATTTTTACACTGTTTAAAATTATTCATATTATTTAAAATAAAATAAATATTTGAAAATATTTAAATTATCCCACGATTTAAGATTAATTAAAAAATAATAATAATATTTAAGATTAATAAAAAATAATAATTATTAATCGTAAACGCGTGCGAATATGTAGCATTTAGCGAAGCAACTAATCGTGAAAGCTGCTGATAAATATTACGTATTAAGCCATTAATAATTAAAAAATTAAAATACCTGGTAATTTTCTGGCAATGGGTCATGCTGGACTGTCAAAACAATTGATTCACCAGGCCTTAATAACTCCATAACAGCTTCCTGATGCGTGGCTTTAGTTACATCGGTACCATTAACTTTTAATATCCTGTCACCCATTCGAAGTTTACCAGATTTAGCAGCTATTCCTCCAGGTACAACCTATTTTAGATTCCACAAATTATTAACAATAATTAGAAACATTTACAATTAATTTATGGGGTAATAAACTATACATACATGTGATATAAAAATACCAGGCTCTTTAGCGCCAAATGGCGTGCAGGAGTGATCGGTACCACCAATGATACTAAAGCCGAGAGATCCTTCCTTCATCAGTACAACGTCCTGAATAATAATAATAATCAACAAATATTAGTAATAATAATAATTAAATGAATAAAAATCACTTGAGTTAAATCCAGATACTGAGGACGAGATGGCCAACGATGAAGGATTAATAGAGAGGATTGGAATTGGTGAGTTGTAGCGTCTAGTCTAGCTAATGAATTTATTCTATAAATAAGTAATATATCGAGTGTGCATTGGAAATTTATGGTAATGTGATGTATGTGTCTCAATACATATTTATGTACAACAAGAGAGAAACAGTAACAGAAAGTAATAGCAATAAAAATGATAATAATAAAAATAATAATAGTAATTATTGACGTTAAAGTGTCATGCGTGAAGCTACGAGCATACCTCAATGATTACTGGCTGGACCAGATGATTGTCGGTGACACGTGTTACGACTGTCTCGGTGAGTGTACTCTTAGTGATGGTCTCGGTAACTTTACCAAGTGTAGTGGGCGCCGGAGGGAAGTTAACGTCTCCAGGTAAGTTATCAGGCTGCTTGATAGTCACTGTAACGACTGGACCCTGCTGGGAGTCTGGCGAGGGCGAGGAAGTCGGAGGTCGTAGGAAGTGAGCGGGAATCATGGCCTGAAATTCCTCGTTGGTGATTGGCTTCGGTACCTGTATGTCTTCCTGAGGCGAAGTCGGTCTAGTTGGTTCTGGCTGACTCGGAGTTGTAGCACCAGACTGCCGATTTGGTTGCTGTTGATGTTGTTGCTGCTGAGGTTGGACTTGTTGAGGCTGCGACGATGGAGTTGGTAAAGTTTGTCGTGGCGCAGGCTGAGGTGGATTCACAGCACTTGGACTGATAACTTTGCCAGCCGCAGAACTGTCGCTTACGCCGTTCATCTTGGCAATGCCGTTGACAGGTTGTTGTTGTTCTTTAGCCAACGCGAGTGGCGCCGGCGGCGGAGGAGGCGGTGTTCTTGCCGTTGGACTCGGGGAGAGTGTTTTATCTGCGTCGATAGAACGTCGGTAGCCGGCGTAACCAGGTCGATTTGCTATGTAACTATTTGCATTATAAAGCCCGGTGTAGGGACGCGGTGTAGATGCGCCGATCAATCGCGGAGATTTTTCCGAAGGGGTTACTTGCATCAGTGAGCTCGCCTGAGAACGAGGTATCTCTCGTTCGACCACTAGCCTGACGAACCTATCAAGACCGGTTAGCAATGTTACAGCTTGCTCGTGTTTAGCTTCGGTCATTTCAACCCCATTGATCTGAAAAATTTATTAAGTGACACAAGATCAAAAAATTATTTGCACTTTTTTTAATTTATACTATTAAGAGAATAAGAAAAAATTTTTTTTTTCGAGATAGTCGTATGATAAAATCGATTTTTTTAGTAAAATTTAGTGTCATTGCAAAGGTCTTGAATTTGTGTCTTTTCAAGGTTTCATACAATTCTTACTGGTAGTTAAGTTATTATGAAAAGTATTTAGGGTGCATTCGAAAATGATCTATCTCTAGTCTCTAGATACATAATTAAGAAATGACCTTGTATCTTGTAAACTATTGACATTTTTGAAGATATAAGTTCACCCCGATGTTACCCTCATCGAGACCTTTCATTTGAGTACCTACATCAATTTTTCATATATTTTATATATTTATATATTTGACAAATACCATATATATAATATATATAAAAAATGCCATGTGGGTACTCAAATGAAAGCTCTTGATGAGTGTAACATCGGGATGAGCTTTTATCTTAAAAAATGTCAATAATTAAGAAATGACATTGTATCTTGTGAACTATTGACATTTTTAAAGATATAAGCTCTCCTCGATGTTACCCTCATCGAGACCTTTCATTTGAATACCCACATCAATTTTTCATATATTTTATATATTTATGTATATGAATATATGAAAAATATATCAAAATGCATGTGGGTACTCAAATGAAAACTCTTGATGAGTGTAACATAGAAATGAGCTTATATCTTTAAAAACGTCAATTTTTAAGAAAGTACAGGACAATTTAACAAAAGTTATTATTTAATAAAGCAAAATTTTAATTTTTTATAGCTCACAAGTCACGGAAGTCACATAGTGACTGCAGGGTTGCTAGTTATTCTATTATTGCTATCTTAAAGTTTGCTATTACTTACCGATACAACTCTATCGCCAATTAATAATTTACCGTCTTTCTGTGCAACACCGCCGTCGGTTATTTTCGAGATAAATATAGCCTGCACAAAGATAAAATAAATTATACGTCAATAAAGATTATTTATTCTTGTACCAGTATTAAATAAACTTACATCGGTATTGTCTTTGAAAGGCGCTGAACCTTTTCCACCCGCAATACTAAACCCAAGACCATTTTGATCGCGTATTAATGTTGTGTGTACAAGCACCGGTACTAATGTCTCATCATTGCTCATTGTCGGCAAAGGCTCGGGAATTTTCTTGGTCTGCAAAAAAATTATATAAAAAAATTGTTTGTTATTATTTATTTATAAATATAAATATGATATAAAAAAAAACAATGATAGTTATAATTTATAAATAATTTAAAATCAATAAATAGGTGGATATATTCCTTACTTTGACGTAATCACGGGGTAAACTAGTATCTCCGTTTTCGAGATTATGGGACAGTGCAGTCGACGATACATAGGATGTAGCACTTGGAGCACGACTGGTACTCAGACTTGAGCAGACTGAATCTTTTCGCGTTGACAGCTGAAATTAAAAATAATAATTGCTTTTCCCACTCACGCACTACTAACCCACTAACAGTTAAGCCGCTACCGGCAATAATGACAGCACAAAAGAGAAGCGAAATAAATAGAGCTAGTAATTATTATTGAGTTATTATATTAACCTGTTCAGATGGTGGTACTATTCGCGTGACCTCTCTTATTATAACAAGTACAAGGACTCTTCCACAAGCTTTTAGAACTTCAACTGCGTCGTAGTGATCTACGTTGACCATTGAAACCCCATTTACCGAAATAACTTTGTCTCCAACCTTCAACCCGGCCAGATCGGCTGGACCACCTATTGATCAAATCGACCCAATTAATAAAAAAAAAAAAAAATCTGTTACTACTAAAGCCTTCAGAATGTAATAGTACTTCTGTTTGCTTTTATTTAAAATTGATTTATATATGAATTCATAAGATAGTAATACATATTGTATTTAACAATATTCATTTGTGTGTATATATATATATATATATATATATATAGTAATATTATAAAGTAAATGAACCTTCAGTTACTCTGGAAATGAATATCCCCTCATCCTCTCCTTTGAATGGTATCGAACCAATACCACCTGCAATCGACAAACCCAGACCAGCTGTTGTTCTCTCAATATGAATCTCATACTGCTCCTCTCGTACTTCTAACGACGGTTCCGCGTCTGACGTTGCTCCTGAAACATCAATTATTTTATGTTGTATTGTTATTGTCGTTATTCTTCTTGATGGATTTTAAAATAAATGAAAATAAAAATGAATTATTATTATTATTTAAATTATTGAGAAAATAAGAAAAATTTTGTCTCCATAATAGTAATATGATAAAATCGGTTTTTTTAGTGAAATATAATATAATTAAGAAATGACCTTATGTCTTGTGAACTATTGACATTTTTGACGATATAAGCTCATCCCGATGTTACACTCATCGAGACCTTTCATTTGAGTACCCACATCAATTTTTCATATATTTTATATATTTATATATTTCACAAATACCATATATATAAAATATATAAAAAAAATGTCATGTGGGTACTCAAATGAAAGGTCTCAATGAGTATAACATCGAAATGAGTTTATATTTTAAAAAATGTCAATAATTAAGGAATGACTTTGTATTTTATCAACTACTGACATTTTTAAAGATATAAGCTCATCCCAATGTTACACTCATCGAGACCTTTTGTTTGAGTACCCACATCAATTTTTCATAAATTTCATATATTATATATATATGTATATATGAAAAATATATCAAAATGCATGTGGGTACTCAAATGAAAGCTCTTGATGAGTGTAACATCGGGATGAGCTTATAACGTTAAAAACGTCAATAGTTAAGAAAGTACAGTGCAATTTAACATAAGTCATTATTTAATAAAGCAAAATTTGATTTATTTATTGTTCACAAGTCACGACAATCACGTAGTGACTGCAAGGTTTTTTAGTTATTATTATTATCATTCATTTTAATGAAAACAAATAAATAAATTCCTTAAATAAAATTCACCTTTATTACGACGAGTTTTAACAAACATACGGTAACGTTTTGACATATTAAAAAAATTATTTTTATTCACTAGACCATTAATTGGCTATCGAATCCCAAAACAATTTAATCATGGACAAGAATTCCAATTATGATTCACACAACAATCTACCTCACAGTTAATCGCTATTTCCGTTTAGGTACTGTTGTTATGTTGCTGTACACTGTACAGATACAGCACACAAACCCACGTACATACACATTCATTTATCATACATACGTAAACTACGCGGGATACTACGATATAATTTTACGTCTACATCAACAACCGTATCATCGGAGATAGAGATAGTGTATCAGCGATAAGACGTGAGTAATTTAATCGTATCTTATCATCTTTACTGACGGTTCAAATTATCAAATTATGGAGACTTTACTTGTTTCAATAAGTATATACATTGAGTAAAATTAGAACAAGGTTTTTTTACGGTACGGTAAGATAATCTATTTTAATATACCTTTTTTAAAGTCATTATATCATTGATACATTTATTTATTAATTTTTATTGGATATTATTATGACGTTAAGAACGATAATATAAATGAAAAACTAGATAGCGGTATCTGTAGCTTGGAAAATTAATATAAAAAATTTACCTTGACTATGAATGTCGTAATTGTCGGCAGACTCGGTTGGAAGACTTGTTGATACGGACGTCTCGTCACTTTTCTTCATCATAGCCTTAGAGAGAAAAAAAAAGTAATAATATTAAATATAATCCAGATTTTTAAAATTTAAGTACTGCGGTTAACCATTCCAGTTGTGCCAGCGGTTTACAATAACAGTAAGTTATACGCTAACTATAAATAAAAAATAATAATTCTACACGCGATACCTAAATTATGTGCTACCTCATTTCACAACATTTATAATAAATACGTCGACTTAACGCTTGTTCCTGAATAAAATATTTATAATAATAATAATAATAATAATAATTATTATTATTATTATTATAATTATAACAATGACAATTAATAATAGAAACATGGAATGAGTAAATAATAGAATTCAAATAAATGTTAATTAATAAAGCTGAATGGAGACAGTGAAACGTTCAGTGCGAACAAAGCAAATGCTTGATAGTTTTATAATTAATAATTATATTATTAAACTTCTGAAATTATATTTAATTTTATTTTATACATTAGAGCGCTTTATTTCATAGTAAGTGCTGGATAAAAATAAATTTTGTTGTAAATAGCTTTTATTTTTTTGCTCAGAAAATTTTTGAAATATTTCTAAATATACCCTGAAATAAAGTACTCTAATATATACACAAGCAATTTTATTTAATAGTTGTGACGTTATAATTACAACGCATCGATCTGGTGATTCTAATCAGCACTCAATGATATGTTATTATATTTTATATATTAAACATAGTACACATAAGTAATAAACAAACAAACAAGTGAGAGTGAAGAATAAAATTGACCATAGACAAAAAGTACATCCAACGAGCCCAATTGGTTATCAATTTAAAATAGAAGAAGAAGAAATGATAATGGTCTTAAATTTAGCGTGGCTAATTTATTCTAATAAAATATATGACAGTGGATTCTCGGTAACTCGAACCTTGTCAAGTCAATATCCTCAGTAACTCGAAAAAAATTTGTATTCCCTTCCACTGAACTCTTAAATACGCGACATCTCGAATTATTTAGACTCTATAACTTGAATTTTAAAAGTAAAACTCTATAAGTCGAAGTTAGTAAAATATAAAGACGTTTTTCTCCGAGCTGTCCAAGCTTATAGCAATCAAATCTAAATTTCTATAGGAATGTTCAATGCTTATTATATTTTTGTTTGTAATGTATATTTTCTCTCTAAGTTATTTTCTTGCAAATCAAGTGTTTTATTAATTTTTTGATCTACTTTAAAATTTTGAACATCTTATTAAGTCGAAAACTCGTTTACTCGAAGTTTTTATCACTTCCCTTGAAGTTCGAGTTATCGAGAGTCCACTGTATATTATTTTTAATTTTAAATCAACTTATCGTAATTAAGTATTGTATTGTACTTGATAAATTTAAATCAATATATTATTATGGTCTTGAAGTAATTCATATTTTTAGACCTTTATCAAATAAATGAAAAAAACGAATGCAAAAGCAGTCAAGTAGACACCACATAACGACAACCATGAAAAAATATTATGACAAGTACATTGAAAATAATTATATTCCTTCATAAATATAACTAACGATTAATAAAAAATAAAACAGAAATCTCCTTAAAAAAAACACTCACTACGACATTCACAATAAAGTTATTTTTACGCTAATTAAAACCTAAAAAGCATTATATTAGTAACAGTAACATCATTATTATTAATTATAATTAAATTATCATCAATATATAATAACACAGTCGTGCTGTCCTTGTGAGCACGAGTGCAAGCGGTGCATTAATTGAGAATGATGACGTTGAAATAAAATAAAAAATAAGTTAAACAAATAAATGTGACTGAAGTGTTATCAAATGCTGACCTGTGCGATGATGGAAGCGACTTTATCCTTGTCAATCGTAGGGTGTATTCGCTTGTTTTTCAGATGATGCGGAGTATCACGTCGGTGCAGCCTGTTTGGCTTTCCCGTATTAACCCCACCCTCATAATCCGGGTCTTCCGATATTGTAAATTCAACACGTCTCTGTGACATATCATCATCATCACCCTCGGAGGACTCATCCTCACCACCCTCCTGCCTACCCTTAGCCGATACTTCTGACACCGAAACCTCGACATCAACAGCATCCTGCAACAGGAGCCCCATTCTCACAACACACCACTCACACAACCAGTTAACTATTTATCCTTATATTATACTACATTATTTTATATTATTTACATCCCCATTGTTCCATTATTTGCCTATTAATCAATAAAAAATAAAATCAATAGAATATTCGCACTGAACGCATACGCCTGGCGGTTTAACTAAATCCCAAATTGTATTTAGTAAATATTTACAATAATAATCAACAATGGATTGATAAATATTCCTGGTAATAAATATACATAATATAATATTGTATGTATATATTGCTAAATATTATTATTGTAATTTATTATTGGTAAATAAATTATTAATCAATAAACTTACTGGAGATAATTGTTCGGATGATTGATGATGGATTTCACGTTCATCAATTTGAGTAACAGAGTTATCGTTTGCCGGTTCTGACACAGCAGCTTCAACTTGATTCGATAGTGCACTCTCATCAAGTTCTGCGGTGGTACTAGTGGTTGTGACAGGTTGAGAAGAAGCTTCTACTTGCTCTTCTTCATTAGGGTGAGACGCGTCTACATCGGTTTTGTCGAGGCCAAATGTTTGAGAGACATCCTAAGCAATCAGATTTCGTTTAACGTTAAATAAAGACGCTCGGTAATAAAGACAAGTACTTGATTAAACTCTGATTTAATTTAATTTAAGGTAGTATGAACACCAAGGCAACTTTTGATAAAAGGCTTGATTTTTTTTTTTAATATGAAGTTTGGAAAATCCAAAAGTGCACAACTCATAATGCTCATTTAATTATGAAATATTAATAAAATAAAGAATGTGAAAAAAAAATATATAAAACAACTAAAATAGCACATATGTGTAGATATAGTCTTGTGGTTTTTGTTTTATTTTATTAATTGTACATAAACGACACTGAATTACCTAGCCATTCGCATTCGGTGACTTACAATTCCTTCAAAGAATTAAAAAAAAAAAATTTAACTCAATTAATGCATTTTTTTGCAAGTTACAGTGTTTTCAGAGTTTCATACATGACGGACAGGAAAATTTTTTGACCTATTTTGATGTTTTTTCCCGTTTCTATTGCACTAAATTAATTTTTGAAAAATGTCAAATTATCTTGACAATAGTATGCAAAAATATCTTGATTCCGTTAACTAATAAGACTATAATAAATAAAAATAGTTGCCGAAAATGAGAAGCAAAAAATTTTTCGATCGTAAAGCACTCTCTGATGCTTCGCATTATGAGTCGTGCAATATGTCTAAATAAATTCCGAAAATTTGAAGGAGATTGCCCGATTATTTAAAAAAATAATTAACTTTGAAGTTGAGCAATTTATAACATTAGTCTTATGGGGTAATCTCCAAGAATTGATACATTTGTGTATTTTTCTCGTAAAATTGTCAGTGAATATTTTTAAAAAACTTATGGATGAAAGTAAATATATTAGTGATAAATTTAATTAAAAAAATTTTACACTTGCCCGACTAATTAAAGCGTATCAATTAAAAGAAAAATAAATGCCGCTATTAGCCAATGTTAAATGTAAATCTATATATTAAGAAAAATTATATAGTTACTGCTCTCCTTTTACTGCGCTAGAGTCTACCTTAATCTGATTGAAAATTATTTAATTTAATAAATTTTAGGATATAAAATTTTACCTGCTCGTCTGTCGAGCCCGATCTACTGTCATTTTTCCCCTTGCTAAAGAGCTTGTGGGCTTTAGCTTTTAATTCCTTCGGGTGAGGAGTATTTTGCCGTACAAATGGTGTCTGAAATAAATTTATCGAGTCATTTATTATTAATTAGATTATATTATCAAGTAATTAGTTAATTAATTACTCGTAACCCATTCTCATGTTTTTTTATTAGATAATTATAGACTAGATTGATAAGCATGCATGTTATAATTATACTAATTAAATAAATTAAATAATAACTTATTTTATTTGTATTTTTTTTTTTTTTATGAAGAAGAAAATAGTAGAATTTATAAGAAATATGAAAAAGCCCTTGAACTCATATTTAAACTAATCTTTAGAGTCGTCATTAGTGATATAATAGCGCACAAGATAATTTTTATTATTAGATTTAATTAATTAGATTACTAGTAAAGAGATAAATTAAAAAACAATCTAATATATACACAAATATATATATTTTAAAATTAAAGCATACTTACGTCTTCATTGACATGCAAATCGAGATCCAATTAATTAACTAATACCAGGTTTAAAAATTAATAAAAAAAAAAATATATAAATTAATAATAAAAGAAAAAAAATAAAATATATTTTAAAAATAAAACAGGTTAAGTTCAATATTAATAATTAAAATAAAAGAAATGTTAAAACTACCATGCATTACATGCAAAAAATATTCAAATAAATGTGAATACATTTAAAATACTGCTTGTTATATCTGTATAATTGTTAAAAACAAAGGTATAGTGGAATCTAAGTTGATAAATTAATAAATTTGTATAGTTCAACATTAGAATTAATAGACTCAAATGAGTCAGTGGTATTCATGCAACATAAGTGCCGGAAAAAATGAGCTAATTTAGATTGTGCAGAGGTTGAGTGCTTGGTTATGAGCACCATGCTCACCTCCTTGTTGGCCTCTGGGCCGTCATCAGTGAATTTAACCGAGTGTGTCCTCGACGCTTCCTTTTCTTGCCAATTTTCATCGTCACTGCTGGCTAACTCCCTCATCTCATTATTTTGAACCGCATTTCTCATTCCTGCTATCATATTTAAGGGTCCTCCATCTAAAAATAAAATACAAAAAATTTATCATCCTTCCATTTCACCAATTTATCAAATTAGACAATCAAATTAAACTAAATTAAATGTAATACTCTACTATTTAATGAAGATTTATTTTTATTGATTAAATAAATATATTTATTACCTTGTAAGCCTCCGGCATTGTTTTCAAGCTGAGGCAAAAGGAAACAAGTAAGCACTTCCTGGCCAGTATCCTCATCAATGTCTGTTTGGAAAGTCAACATTGGCTGAGCTTGATTTTCACTCAGCCAAACTGCTTTTAAATTCAAATAAATTAACGAGTACGGCAAGAACTGCAATCTAAAAAATTTATTCGTATTGTACATTAGATTGATTATTTCGAAATTAATTTATTAAGGGGGGAAATACGTGTAGAGGGCCGTTTTCATGCTGATTTTCATTAATTTTTTTAAGATACAAAAAATTAATATTATTTAACATTGAATATTATTAATATTGAAACTATCAGGTTATTTTATACACTTATATATGAGTATTTTTTCGTATTAAACAGCAATATAACTTAGCAATTATTATTATTATTATTTTTTTTTTTATTATTACTTTAATTTCTTTCAACTTATGTATTTTCAACAATTTTTGTATTTTTTGTAATAATTTGGATTTGTGGTCAAAAGGAGAATTATTCCCATGATCAATCAGTAAATAAATAAATAAATAACAAATAGCGGAGATATCAGCTAATACACATCGTAGGTTGTCATCCGACTTAGAAGTTGGTGTGCAGTATGGAAGTCACAATTATTATCTGAAATCACTCGGCACAGAATAATTACTTTTTTTTAATGCGTATCTTCTACATAAACCTCAATTCCAAAAAAAAAGCAAAAATTGCATTTTTTAGAAAGCTGTGAAATTAAGTCATGATTTTTTACCATCTTTTCATACGTTGTTTATTTAAAAAAAAAATAGTTTAAATAAAAATATCGCTTATCATAGAGGTTCATATTCAGCGTAATTATATAAAGAAAAGTAATTTTTCCGTGCCAGTTGGTTGCAGGTTAACCATCAAATGTTTGTTTTAATCTTAATTTTTCTCGGTAAATTATTAAATATTTTATTATTTGGGAATCTTACAAATTTTTATTAATTATTCATATGTTGATGGATTTATAAACTAATATTTATTTAAAACAATGTTTATTGCAATTAACATATGAATAGTTAATAAAAATTTGTAAGATTCCTAAATAATAAAATATTTAATAATTTACCGTGAAAGATTAAGATGAAAACAAACATTTGATGGTTAACCTGCAACCGACACTTTTCTAATAATATATTATTATTATAATGAAAAATAATTTAAAAGTTATATATTGTGTTTATAATTATTTATAATATAATTAACTGCCAAAATAAATCCTTCGTTCAAATTAAAAATAGAAAACAAATAAAAAAAACTATATTTTAAAAAAATTTTTTTAAAAATTATTACAAACAAAAAAAATCTTGTTTGGTTTGATATTTTTTTTGATTGCTAAAAATATTTTTTACTCTAAAATTTTTTATTTTTTACAAACATTTTCTTATTTTTTTTGCTATAGTACATTCGGAAATTTAAATTATTGCATATTTCATTTTACTATGGTACATTTCAATTTCTACCGTTTGCTATGTCTGATTTCATTTGTTTCGGAAATTACTATGGGCCATTGTAAAATTTGTATTCTGAGTCAATAAGGTTCACTAGTAATATGCACCATTGTAAAATTTAAAATCCATGCAGAATAAAAAATAATAGGAATTTCTCACCGTGAACCTACAATGTGTATTAGCTGATATCTCCGCTACTTTTTAAGTTATACTGTCGTAAAATATGGATAGATATATGTATAAAATAACCTAATAGTTTCAATAACATTAATTTTCATATCTTAAAAAAATTAATAAAAAATCAGCAAGAAACGTCTTTTCTTCCCTCCGTGCGGAAAGCGTCAATTTTCCGCTCGCTGCGCTAAACGAAATGCCGCTTTCCGCCTCCGTCGAGGAGAAAAATAATATTCTCACTACGGGCAGGAAATAAAAAAGCCTCAGATCACATGTTTGTCGACCTCGGCTTCGCCTCGGTCAACAATTACATGTAATTTGAGACATTTCTTATTTTCCTGCCCCAGGTAAGAAAAATACTATTCTATACGTATTTCCCCCCTTAATAAAGTACTTAAATTGTTTACCTATTTTTCGATACATCAAGTACGTGCAGAGCTGTACACTGTCCAACTTCATTAGGTAAATACTGTAGTTTATTTTCACGAAGTGATAATACACCTAAATTTTTAAGGTTTCCAATTTCCGCTGGCAAGTACTGCAAGCTATTACGATCGACATTTATATTATTTAAATTATGAAGGTTACCAATTGAAGATGGCAAACTATATAGAAAATTTTCGGTCAATATCAGCTCCTGTAAACTCTCGCATTTTCCAATATTTGGATTCAGGCTTGTCAATCTATTTTGGTCGACCTTCAAAATCGTCAATTTTTTAAGCTCCCCAATACCGTCGGGCAAATTTTCGATAACATTTTGCGACAAATGCAAATCGGTTAATGACTCAAGGCCACTTATTTCTTCAGGCAGATCTTCTAAGCGGTTTTCCGAGACGTCAAGGCACGCGAGAGTTTTCAATTGACCAATTTCTGGTGGCAAGTGTTGTAATTGATTTTGGTCCAACCATAATTCTTGAAGAGCCGGTAGTTGTCCCAGATATGTTGGCTTGAATATTTAAAATAATTTAATAAATAAAATAATTTTTTTTCTTTTTATTATCTGTACTTGTGATAAAAAAGTCAATTAAATTAAAATTTATTATATAAATTATCTTCAATGATAATCATAATTAATTTTATTGGCTGGTAAATTATAGTCATAGATAATTATAATTATTAATTACTACCGAACTTTAATTACTTTAGCTGATGCGCGGTCTGTTTAGGCTGAACAATTAGCGGGTCAAAGATAACGGCTAACAAAAGTAAACTATACTAACAAAATCATTAATCAGATAACTATATAATTAAATGAAAACAATATACGCGACAGAGTTATCTATAAAATAATTTACTGTCAAAGTAAAATTGAATTGTATTAAAATAATAAATTGTACAAAGCGCTTTATAATTTAATTTACTGTTTTGTATTCATACTCTGAAAATTTATAATTTCCGGTAATAAAAAAAAAAAAATACTTACCAATTCTTCAATTTCATTGTCACCCAAATCTAATCTTTCAAGTTTACTCAACTGCGAAAAAGACTCGGGTAAATTTTTAAGTAAATTCTCTCTCAATTCAAGCGACTGTAAAGCTTCCAAGCTAAAAATAAAAATTCATTAAGCTATCAAAATCACAGGATTATCGCATAGTAAGAAACTTTTTTGCCGTAAATCATTAGTTATTGACCGAAAAAACATTAAGAGTGATTCATTACCTTCCAAAATCTGGCGGTAAACTAGTAAGTGACATATCATTGAGGCCGAGTACTGTAAGGTTTCTCAGCTTCACCAACCCCGCGGGAAGTCTGTACGGAAAATAAAATTATGTAACTACTATAGCGTAGAATATAAACAAATAAACTATTATTTAATTTATAATAAAATACAAACCGTGGTATCGGATTGCTGCTGAAATCTGCCACCTGTAGAGCTCGTAAATTTCTGATGTTGTCAGGAATGTCCGATATATCTATAACAATAAAACCAAGGTCATATTATTGTTGTTATTATTATTATTAATCCCGAGGTTTTTTACATGTCGACATAGAGCCAAACACCTGGGAAATTATGCAATCGGCGAACAAACAATTCACTGGCAAACGTTTTGCTTTCATTTATCGTAACAACGCGGATATTTTAAAGTTCTTAAAGTAATGACAAAAATTATCAACATACATATTTATTTAAATATTTACAAAACAAAGGTAGTTATAAATGGCATGCAGTAGCCTATCGGATCCGGCCCTTGCTTACCAAAGCATTGGACCGGGTTCGAGTCCGGCGTACACCAATGAATATTTTCAATATTTAAGTGTATTATTCTGCTCAGCCCAAAAAATAAAACGAGTTCCAATCTCAAAAAGTTTACCCCCTATAGTAGTCGCTCATGACCTTAGTAGTTTATGCGACTTTAAACAAATTAAGAAAGAAAAAAAAAAAAGGTAGTTATAAACATAATATTATTTTTGTTAAATATTACAATTTGTAACAAAAAAGGTAACCACTATCTACGATAATAAATCAGTATACATTTGTAATAAAAATTTTAATGATTATTTTTTTTACTACAAATAACATTAGTGATACAGATTAAAACTTTTCATGTGTTAAAAATAAAACAAGGTGCCACTTTTTTGATAAGAATAATATTTGATATTACATACGTTGTTGATTAGATATTATATATTATCATTTTAATTCGAAGGACTTATTTTTAAATTCGATTATAATTACAGCTACAATTAATAAAAATTTGTTATCAAAATACTAAATTGTAATTATAATAATTATAGTTTACAGTAATGCAAGTAATTAAATATCATTATCAAAGTTTGAATAATAATAAATAAGATTTAATGTCAATGTCATTATTTTGTGTCAGATAATAAAATATCAAAATTAATTTACACTAATAGTAAACATTGAAATTGGTAGTAATTTTATCGCATTATTTTATTTTATTATTTTATTCGATACTCCTAATTAAATGGTATAATAAAATTTTTAAAAAGTCGAAATTAATTCGCAATCATTAAAATATTTTAAATAATTTAGTGTATTTTATTGTTTTGACTAAACTATTTTAAATAAAAACGGAAAAATAATCGATAAGTATCGTAAAAAAAAAAAAAAATTAAACTTTAGTAAAATATTTTTACAAAAGAAAAATATTTATCTAAGAGAATTTAAAAATAACACGAGTAATTGGTATTGAGAATGTTTTCGTAAATTCAGTAAAACAACAGCAACCATATTGACTGAAATCGAATGTTGTTTTGCCATTTAAGCATCACAACATCCTCGATCGCACCTTATAAGTGAGATACTTTCTTTCGATCAGCTTAAACGTACCAAGAGTTTGTTGGCTGTCTATAAAACAAACCGGGCTTGTAATTATCAGCGTGGGTTTTACCATAATGTTTAGTTTTTTTTTTTTTTCTTAATTTAAGCCAAGGAATAATTAAAAGAAAAAGAATAAAAAAAATAAATGAGTCGCCTGAAAAAATCGACCCTTTCCTTCTTTATATTACTTAACAAACTTAAGCTAATAAATCAAGGCATTCAACCGGCGATCAGTAATTAAAACCTCCAGAATCTATCATTTGTCTTGATTAAAACCTTTTTAGTTCAAAGTTTCGCCCGCCTGGCGTGTGTTTTCCACAAGACAATAGGACAATTAATCTCTCTTGGCGATCATTCCTCTTTATTTATAAATAAATAAACAAATCCACAGATAGATACGTCAATAAAAAATGAAATAAGTACGTAAGTAAATAAATAAAAAAGAGTAAAAATATAACCTAAGAGGAACCTGGACAAGCTTCCTGGCTGGCGTGTTACTGTCTCTCGTATGCTGTTTATATTAGTTTTTGTTGGTATCTTCTCGCTCACGCGAGACAGCCAACCTTCGCCTTGAATTCCACCCGACTTTCTAAGTTCGCCGCGGGTCAGATCGTTGCCATGACTGCTGCGTGCTCTCACGACCAGAGACCAAAAATAAATTGTACATATCCTTGACTGCTATACTCGTGGATCAAAAGAATAAATAAACGATAACAACGGCTTAAACTTAAACCCAAAACCAAACCGTACAATGATAACAACGGGATCATGCCACGAGTCGACACTAATTTTTTAACGTCTCACATTTTTACTTCCCCGTACAATTTACAATGAACCAAAAAAAACTATAAATAGGTGCCCATTTATCCAACCTACTGACTAAAAATATAAATACATTTTATAGTGAACTGCAATGAATTGAAATAACATCAACCCACTCACAAACATTTTTATTCAATGAATATTAATCATAAATACATGGACAAGTTAAATTAAAGATTTTAATTGTTTGCAGTATGCGAATTTAATGTTTTTGGACATTAAGAATTATGATTGAAGAGAAATTAATTGGCTAAAAAATTTTTTTAATATTTTTAAGTACAATTTACGTAACTTAAATAATTTTTAAATTAATTTTAAAAATAATATCGTTATCATAAGATCAATTATTGAGAATTTAATGAAAGATGTGACGAAATAAACTTAAAAAGCCAACAAACTATTAAAAATTTTAAATTTAAATTGAGTATCGTCCAAAAAAAAATTTAAACCTTGAAAAGCATCAATTTAGGTCAAGGTCTGTCTGATGATACCAAATCTAAACAGAAAGAAAAAATTCTTTATTAAAGAAATAATTTTGTTGGTTCAAGAAATTATTTAGGAAAACAAAACTTCTCAATAAAATTTCTTTCAACTCCAAAAAAACTTATTAGTTTTTTAAAAAAAAATTCTTGCGTCAAGAAAGCTATTTCTTCTGTATAAGAGTAAAAATCCATTTTATAAAACAGATAGTAGTCACAACCTTTTCTTTATTTTCTCAACTATATAGACTATATAATAATTTGATAGAGAATCATTTATGAGACGATTACCATTTCATACATAACAGCAAAGCGTAATTCCGCAAGAAACTACATCAGAGCAACATAAGTGGAATCTGCGAGAGAGTAGAGTCTCTTTACTTGTATGGTCTGCTCTCATCGAGTCATCAACGCTGCTTTCCCCTATATCACGTCACCTTTCATCTCACTGACTCAATTATGTCAGAGATATTACGTTGAAGAACATCTCCCAGGTACGGTATAGCTTAAGTGGTTGATGAAGAGCTTTAGCCACTGTATGTGTACTATTCATCAATATCTTTATATTACCTCACCACGATAACCGAGTACTGAGTACTAAGTACTAAATAAATGGATACTTATTGTAGCGATTTGAGAATTTTTTTATTTTATAATAAAGCAATTCTCTTGAATCAAGTTAATTTTTTTTTCAGAGTAATAATAATAAATAATTTGTCATAAGTAAACTAAAAATGCAGTCGTACTAATTAAAATTTAAATAAACTGGGTAGTTCTCTTAACACGGTATCCTTTGAATCTAAATTACACCGGTATTTGTGAAGGGACTTGTCATGTCGGAAGTACGCTTGATAATCGAGACAATAACACGCAAACACTCTTAATTATAATTATAAATAAATTAACCATCAATAAATAACTTCTGCATTAATTACTATAAATTAAATTGTTGAATATAAATTCAATAGAGTTGAAAATTCTTTCACTTAATTCATCTAGCTAAACATTGTTAAACTCAAGAGTTTTAAAACTAAAAAAGCTCTTTTTTCATGCTCATTAAGTAAAACGAGCGTATAATTAGAGTGTCTACGAGCGGCTTTTAGTTTTTATGACCATCTAAATGCAAGTACTGCAAAAAAATAATTTTTATGAACAGCGTACATAGTAAAAATTTTAAATTGAAATGAAAACCGAGTAAAGGAAAACAGTAGCCTTGGCTGGGAAGTACGCTCACTAGCCAGCAATGAATGTGGCACCTGTTGCAATCGATCCAACTACACGATACATAAATCGTCAGAAATGTTACTACTATTATGTATCTTTATTACTATTACTATTACTATTATTATTGTAATTTTATGTGTTCTGTCCAATGTTGTGTGGTATGTAATGTAGATATATCACACATAAAAGTGAGATACTGCAAGTTGAGGAAAATAGCTGAATACTAATATATAATATTACACTGCAGGCGGCAATCGCAGACTTTACTCAATTCAATTTGTGTTGAGGTAATGTGTACACGTAATGTACGTAATGTGGTATTATAATACATAACATCAGATAATATTAGATTTGTATGATATGTTTATGCAAAGAGCGCAGATTAAACTGCAAATTTTTATATAAATGTCGATTAAAATAATTTTTATTTTGCTTACTAAAATTAAAAAATATCCATAAATATTTTTTGATCAAAAAATTAATATACTAAGGTTGTTGGATTCTCTGAGCAAAAATAAATCCCAGTAACAAAACTTTTAGTTTTATATTTTAGATATTTTGTTCTTAGAAATATTTATTTTAGAAAAATAGTATATTTTATTTTATTAGTTTTGAAATGTGAAAAACACATTTAAGGCACATTTTTACAGCTAGAATAAGAAAGCCTGCATAGGCTTGATTTTATGACCTTAGGTACTTAAATTGTACAAAAGACTCCTTATTTTACTATGTACAGTACAACCAAATATTACGGTCTTAGTTAATAAGAAAAACATGTGTTTTACTAAGAACAATACAGAGGATTAGTCCTCACAATAAAATAAGTTTAACATTATAGTCAGTCTGCGACTAAAATCTGTCACACTGATAGAAGGATTTGTTTATAGTTAAAAATATTCGTTAATATTTAACAAATAATTTATTAGAGACCACTTTTTAGTCCTTAACAAATATTTCTTAGTATTTAAAAAGATTTATTAATCTTTAATAAATGGATATCAGATTTATTAAATACAAACAAATCATTTTAAATACTAAGAAATATTTGTTTAATACTAAAAAGTGATCGCTAATAAATGATTTGTTAACTATTAAAAAATATTTTTTGATACAAATAAATCCTTTTATCAGTGCAAGTAACGACACTTTTCTCAATACGATTATTTTAAAATAAATATTCTATTTGAATCACTCTATTTTTTAATAACATTGTATTTTCTCATTATTTATTATCAATTCTATCCATAATTTCCTCCAAAGGTGTTCATTTAATTTTTGAGGCAAAAAATCCATGTCTGAAAATAATTTCAATTTTTTCTCAATGTGAATTTAAATGAAAGCTTACGAATTGCAATTATCATTATACGGTAGTTATGGATTAGCTGCAAGTGAATATCACATATATATATATATATATATGCAGCAAAAAGTTCTAGCAACGTGGATAAAGTTTTAATAAAGGCTCGAGTTTGTTGATGTTTGATGATGAGGGCAAACCTGTTGCCACTGTTGTCCCTCAAAGCTTTTATCTCTTGTCTATGTAAATGCAAGTAAAATAATGATAATAAAAGTTGAGAGCATGAGCAAGTAGGTACATGATAAAACGTCGTTTAACGAGTTCCTCTTTGGCTGCGAGCAGAGATCCTTTTAATAAGATGAGATGATATGAGATTTGTAGTACGCTTGTATGTATACGGGTGTACGGTGATGCTGTTCTGGTATCCATTGTAGCTGTACGACAGACATACAGTACAGGTTCTACAGCATTGGTGGATAGAAGCACCGTCGAGAGAAATGTTTGTGTATTCACGAGCCCACGTAAACTTTCGTTATATTATATTTAATTATAACTTATAACGAACAGACCAACAAACTCTATAGGCAGAATTCAGTACTTTGTTATTAATATGTAGTTTGTTTTGTATCAAACGCTACAACTTTGGGGGCAAACTTAATACTGCTATTTACTTTGCTAAGATACTGAATGAGTTATAAACTTATAATGAATTTATTGGAGTCAAATTAGAGGGATGTTTGTTAGTTATTAACTCAATAAACAATAATATTTGTTGTGTGTCATGGAGCGAAATAAGAAAATATTGTTTAAATTGGACGATGAATTTGATGCAATGAAAAGTTTATTGTTGGATAAAAATGTAATAAACTTTTAAATGGAGAGCAATGCAATTAAATTGTTTGAAGTTGTATATAATATGCTTTTAATGGAATTTAAAAACACACCCTGGTATGACGTACCAATTGAGGCCACTTTGTTTTATGCATCGAATGCTTCTTGGAAAAGCTCTGAAGTAGAGCATCACGGAAATTATATAGATATATTTTTCTGGGCAAAATCTCAATTTTACAACAAATCGTCGTTTTATAAATAGCGTTACTCAGTCTTAATGTATATATATGTATGTTTTATATTTATTTACTTTTTCTTTATTTATATAAAAGTTGGTTAATCATAAACAAAACTAAAAATAATTATTTATTTTTCACCATGAGCGGGATAGATGAGGTGCTGGTGAACGATTTTCATCAACAAGTGGAATAATTTATTTATTACGAAGAAGTGTTTGGATTTAATGGTACGAAAATTAGCAGACATGTGAAATTTTATTTTTTAGGAAATAAATTGATGTTATTGCAAAAAGATTATTACTATTTGAATTTTGCTTTTTTAATATTATGTCTGGTAATAAATTTATTAAAAAATTTTTTTATTTTATAAATTACATTTGGTAATAATGATGAATGAACGTTGTGTGATTCTACAAACTCGGCTATCTACTAAAATTGATATCTAAAAAATTTTCTAATTTTATCGATAATTTTAGAAGTTTAATCTACAAAAGTTTAATATTTTTTTTTTTTTTTTTTTTTTTTTTTCCCTGATAAAATCCAATATTATATTTTAGCATGTTTTCGTCTTGTAATTTTACCAATGTGTTGTTAAATATATAATAAGCTAAATTTTTAAGCCTATGTATACAAAAATGAATAAACTTAATATAAAAATTACTCTGCATCAATGATTAATATATTTCTTAGAATCGATATTTGGTTTTTAAAAATGTTTATATTGTAAAAATTCACAAAATCTTCGAAAATTTTCAACAGTTTCAATAGTTTTAATAAAAGCAATATCAGCTGCAATAGTAGCTG